AGAAGTTGAGCCTGTGTCCTACTCTGAGTTGGTGACAGCAGATAACTTATTTTCTGTTTAGTGCTGCTGGTGCCGCTATGAATTTTCTTTCTTACCCAGATTTTGCTGATTCCTGTCCTTCTGAATCTGATGAGGTTGAGGTTGTTGGTACATCCTCTGGGATACGTAAAAGTGGTCATGCCAGTGACTCCTCTTCTTCATCTGGATCTTCTTTGGCTGCCATATTGTTCTCCTCATCTGGGCAGAAACTTGTAAATCTTCTGACAGAAGCTCAGAAGGAAAGGGATGAGTTAAAAGAAGAAAATGTCCACCTGAATGAGGAAGTTACAGAGCTTCGGAGACTCTTAAAGGGCGAATAAGGACAGAGAATATCTCTTGTAATCTTTTTTGCCTTCGTACTGCTGCTGGATATATGAGTCTTTGTTCATATTTGGTGGTTACTGTTTCTTTCTGTGGATTCCTGAACTTGTAATCTTAAATCTAGTTATATGTCTCTATCCTTAGGCTTCAGGACCCTCTTAAATGAACTGGTAGGGTAAGCTGTGAGTTATAGAGTTCTTTTTATGAACCGAAGAGTTCATCCTGAGCTATAAAGCTCTTTTTATGAATTGAATTGTTCATAGTGAACTGCGGAGCTCTGTTTATGAACTGAAGAATTCATCGTGTGCTATAGGGCTCTTTTTAAGAACTAAAGAGTTCATTATGAGCTATAGAGCTCTTTTCATGAACTGAACTGTTCATAGTGAGTTACGAAGCTTTGTTTATGAACTGAAGAGTTCATCGTGAGCTATAGAGCTCTTTTTAAGAACTGAAGTGTTCGCTTTCATTTTATGAGCTGAGTGGCTCATCTCACCCTTATTTTATGAGTCGGAGAGCTCATCTTTGTTTTATGAGCTGGAGAGCTCATCTTTGTTTTATGAGTTGAAAAGCTCATCTTAATTTTATGAGCTGAGGAGCTCATCTTTTTTTTTTATGAGCTAAAGAGCTCATCTTTGAGTTGGAAGCATTTTTTTTTGCCGGCACATATAAGGGAGGGTCAAAAGTTCTCAGTTTAATTGAAAGAATGATTCTATTACAGAAAAATTTACTGAAAAAACCTCTTAAGGTGTTCTGCATTCCAAGAATGAGGCAGGATTTTTTCTTCCTCAGTTTGCAACTCATAATTCCTAAGCCTGATAACCCTTGATATGATATAAAAATCTTCTCAGTTTGGGCCTAGTTTCTCGTGGGAAGGGTTCTTCCTCGTAAACAGAAGTTTTCTAAGCACTAGATCTCCTACCTTGTAACTCTTGTGCTTTACTTTCTTGTCGTAGTACCTGGCTGTCTTTCTCTGATAATGCTTTATGCACTGTAAGGTCTCGTCTCTCTTCTCATCCAATAGATCGAGGTTGAGTAGCAGCGTCTTATCATTATGCCTTGCGTCGCTAAACTCAGTTCTGGGGGACAGGAGCCCTATCTCCACGAGAGCCACTACTTCAGTTCCGAAAGCCAAAGCAAACGGAGTTTCCCTAGTGGCTATCTTGGTTGTGGTTCTATAAGCCCATAACACCTCAGGGAGCTACTCCACCCATTTTTCTTTCAGTGCTTCTAGCTTAGTTTTCAGGGCGATCTTTATTGTTCGAATGGTGACCTCTACCTGCCTGTTGGATTGGGGATGAGCTAAGGCCGAAAAGAAATTTCTTATCCCCAGCTTGGCACAAAACTTCTTGAACTTAGGGTTATCGAACTACTTCCCATTATCTGAAACAACTATCCTTGGAATCTCAAACCTGCAGATTATCGACTTCCAAATAAAGTTTTGGACTTTTTGTTCTGTGATTGTTGTCAAAGGCTGTCTCTGCCCATTTGGTGAAGTAGTCCACCCCAATAATGAAGAACTTGCATTGTCTAACCCCCGTAGGGAGGGGACCAAGTATATCTAAACCCCATTGTTGAAAAGGCCAGAAGCTCACCACCGATGTTAGGAGCTCTAATGGGCAGTGGGGAATGTTGGCGTGTACTTGGAAAGCTTTACATCTCTTGACCAGATCTGCTGCATCTTCGAGCATAGTGGGCCAATAGTACCCTGCTTTAATGCTTTTCCTATTAGGGCTTGAGCTCCGATGTGATTGCTGCAGACTCCTTCATGAATTTCTCTGAGTATGTAATTAGCATCTTCATCTCCTACACATTTGAGTAGAGGTGTCGAAAATCCCTGTTTGTACAAGTTTCCCTGCAAGATAGAAAATTTGGCTGACCTGAACCTTAGCTTCGCAACTTCTTTGGAATCTTCCGGCAAAGTCCCATGTTGAAGATACCCTTTGATGGGGTCCATCCAGCTTGGTGGTGCTTGCATAGGCAGAACTTCTTCATCTTCAATGCATACAAATGGTTCTGCTAAATGCTCCACTAGAATTAACCTATCCAAATTCTCCTGCGAAACTGTTGCCAACATTGCCAAGGCATCTGCTCTCGAATTTTTGGCTCTAGGAACGTGCTTGAACTTAACTTGCACAAACTTCTTGATCAATTCATGTACCTTTCTGAGGTATAGAACCATTTTCTCACCCTTAGCCTCGTATGACTCCACTACCTATTTCACGACAAGCTGTGAATCGCTGCTAATCTCCAATTTCTCATAGACAGCACCAAACTGATGGTGCAGACTAATGTGGGTGAACAGAGTGCGTGGGACCGACAGTGAATTTAGGCTGTCAACTTCATAATGGCAATGATAAAGTGTTTCTTAGAGGATAGAAAAATTTGCACAGTAGGAATATAGTGGTTCACCGGCTTTGGAGCTCGACTAATCCACTCTCTAATGGAGGCTCTTGCTCCTTTTTTCTCTATTGACTATTTGAATGTATTACCATACAATGCATGATCTAATTAGGGTTCTTCTAGGGCCCCTTCTTGATGAGGCGTTACATAGTATTTATAAGGCTGCTCCCTATTATATGGGATTTCAGTCGAGATCTTTGTCAATTATTCATGGAACCCTCCTTGATTTTAGGAGAGAATTCGGTTGATTGAGAATTTCATGTATTGGGCTCAATTTTTGCAGTCATCCAGTTGTTTTCTACTTGGTTCTGTCACAATCTAACCAAGGGGAGCTTTATCCCTGGTTCTTTGAGTCTTCAGTGTCTTTCCTAACCTCCTGATCTAACCTCTTGACCTGAGCTCACAATTAAGGCTTGTTTGAGATATCATCAAAAATCATTTCAGTTATCGATTTTCTGTTGTCTAGTTGCTGTTACATAGAAAGAAACAATATATATATTGCTAATTTTTGTGATTCTAGAGCTATAGCTGGTTTTTTGGGTAAATAAAAATGGTTGCTGAGCAATTGACTATGGATCATAAAGCATTAGGCAAATATTTTATAGGCATAAATTACATTCACATCCCCTAATATTTGATTTTATTACACGGATATTAAACTTGTTAACAACCACACCCTCTCACATTTTAAAAATAACACCGAACTTTCTTGACTTTTAAAACTTGTAATGGCCACACACCCTCCAGTTAACAGACATTAAACTTATTAACAGTCAAAGCTAATATCATCATAATTCTCAAAATACTAAAAATACCCTCCAAATTTATTCAACCTCTCATGTATTTTTTTTTTTTAATTTATATATGAAATACATAGATTAAAATTTAACACTTAAATATTTAATTTCTAAATATATTACATTAATAAATAAAATATTATTTTTTTTGTTTATTAAATAATAAATGGTACTATTAGTACAATTTAAAAAGTAATCATTTTTTTAAAACCTTAATAATTACCTAATCCAATTGTTCCATATTAAATTTATTTTTGTTTATTATTTATCTAATTACATAAATTTTTACTCTTGTCATCATCACCACCAACTCCACCACCATCACCATTAGTTCCACCGTTTAAACCTAACTACCGTAGTAATGCATCTACCACCTAACACATCTAAACACCATCAACACACAAAGAGAGAGAGAGAAACCACAACTCCATTAAAACCACCTTTGCCTCTACCCCACCACCTACACCAAACTCATCATCAACCATCTCTATATATGACCCTTCTCCTCCACAACATCGCCACTACTGCATCGCCGCCAACTTAGTAGCATGCACCAACAATCACCACCCACCACCGAAATGCCCATCAGCCCCACAACAGAAATGCCCATCACCACCACCATCACAACAAAAATGCCTCAGAATTGCAAGATAAAAAGAGACAATTAGAGTTTCAAAATCATCCACCGTCGCGTCAAATTTGAGAGACGAAGAGAGGGGACTTAGGGTTTCAAAAATCATTGTTGTCCTTTGGATATCTCAAGTTTTTTAAGCTTTCAACCCTATTGATTTCTTCTGTGATTTTGAGTTGATTCTCTAGTATTTTGGGCTAACTGGTTCTTCAACTGAATGTTGCTACAGTGGTGGAGAGAGACAACAGATGATTTTAGGCTAGTTCTTTGCCTTGAGAGAGAGAGTTAGAGAGAGCAAGAGAGATGGGTGCACAGGACAACAAAGGTGAGGTTAGGGATAGAGATAGGGCTTAGCGTTTGGGTTTGAGTTTGAGTTTAACATAGGGATCTGTGAAGCGTCATTGTATTGCAAACACAGTATATACTCAGGTTGCATATTCTATGACAGCCATTCAATGGACTGACAAGAGCTGGTTTGCTATTGATGTGAATCATATAATTGATTAATCAATCATTATCGAACTGTTACTATTTATTTAGGTTATGAATTTAAGCAAAAGTTGTTCTCAACTTTAACATACAATTTTTCACACTTAAAATAGTTAACGTGCAACGTTTGTGTGCATTAACTAATATATATAAATGTTTCATATCCAAGTTCTCTAGGTTAAAGAAACTAAATTCAATAAGCACTATGATAACTAAATTTTCCTACAGTTATTGCAACACAAATCACCAAAAGCTAGTCAAAAGCAACATCTGGAATTTCCAAATTCTATTAGAGAAATCATAGTTTTTGGCTTACAACATAATCATCCGATGTAAATACAAAAGACTTTTGGTGAAACTAATTGGATTGAAGAGCCGACTCTAATTAATGAGCTAGCTTCTGAGGTCGAAACAGGGAAAAAGCGAATCTAGATGGCCAGGGCCAATAAAAAAATGTTGAATGAGAGAAAAATAAAAAATAACTAAAAATAAATGATCGATATTAATGAATCACAAGAAGTGAACTTGCAGGATAAACAAAAAAGAAATACCAGAAATGGGTACAAAAATTTTTGTTAGAACATACACGTTTAATCCAATTATATGCTTATCCTTTTTGTGGGATTGTTGTTATTTTCCAGCTCCGGCCATTGCCATTTAGGAATGATGATGACTAGGGCAGTGGCAATGAGCTGCAGACTGCATGGAACAGCTATGTAATTCTTTTTGGCTTTTCATCCATAGCTTCTATCTGTTCCAACACCTTCACAACTTCCTGCATCGAGGGACGCTTTTTAGGTTCCTGTTCCAAGCATCTTATAGTAACGTGAGCAGACTGTAACGCTGCCTTAGAAGAATATTGGCCTTCCATCCGCACATCCATAATGGACTTCAACTTCCTTTTATGAGAGAGGAACGGCTTTGCCCAATCAACCAAATTATGCTGCCCACTAGGGCGATTGGTATCAAGTGCCCGTAAACCTGTCAACATCTCGAGCATCACAACACCAAAGCCATACACGTCGCTCTTCACATAGAGATGACCTGTTGACGATGGTAGTGAGAAATGAACTAGATTTCTTTCTGCAGGGATCATGCAAATACATAGGCCCATTCCCTTCTCTTTTGGATGAATGGGGTGGTTTAGAAGGCTCTTTCCGATCTAAGGTCGGGGTCAAAAATTATTTCTGCAATGGAGATGGTTCAAACCTATGAAATCGAACTTTCTTTAGATGTTATATCTTTCACCACAAAAATGAAGGAAAAGGGTACGAGAGGTAGAGGGGAAGTTTTGAAATTTGGCTGGCATTCTTAGTACTTAATTTAAATGGCATATTAGAAGGTCTTCTGTTGTTTCATATATCTCAATAGTCATCCATCACCGACTTCATTTCCAGTTGGTGATGGATGGCATATTACTTCATTTTCAAGTTTCTAGTTTTAAAAACAAATCACAAAAAACTAGAAGCCAAAATTTGATGCCTCTCCTGCACTCGATAGCTAACATGTCTTTTGGGTATAACTTATGGTGTAGGATTGGAAGAACATAAAAGTAACTCTACTTCTGTTGCTCGGAGTCACTTCCAGATACAATATAAACTTTAAATAAGGTCTCACCTGTTGCAACATATTCAGGAGCAGCATAACCATATGTGCCCATAATTCGGGTTGTCACATGTGAGTCTCCACCTGAGGGGCCCAATTTTGCCAATCCAAAATCTGATATTTTTGCATTGTAATTCTACAAAGGAAAATAGGGAAAAGAGAAGGGTTTAAACATCAGGACCTTGCATAAGTACATAATTACATGCAGTTAAAGTCTTTTTTTTTTTGCTGAACATGCTATTGTAGTCGGACTATGCCTTTCAGTGGAAAGTAAGAGGATTGTCAATTTTAGTAGGCAAGATATTTTCTTCATAATGCCATGTTGGTATATCATGTTATTCAGGTATTTGCATAAAAAGGTAGACAAATGATTCTGATACAAGAGATCATAGAGAATTACAGTATTGTGTTATTAACAAAAGATCAATGTTTGGGTGTTGCAGTCACATAGAAAATAAATCTCTAGAACCAATTTCTCATGTTCAGTTTTCAGTTATACTTTGGTAAATTGCCAAAAGGGGCATAGCCAACAATGAAGGTAAAAGATGTGGAAACTTATAACCGATACCCTAACCCAGGCTAAAGTGAGATTCTAAGTTTTCATTTCTTTTCTCCTTAATGATCAATCTTTTGATTATGATCCATCTGTTTCTTCACTTTAAAACGGGGGAAATGGAGGGAGACTTTGGGTTCTTACTAAAACCATTACAATACAATACAATGGTGAACTTGCTATCTCCAAGTTGCTTCTCTCCATCCTCTTCTTCTCACATTTTCCTCGGTGGCTTCTTCTAATCCTGTATTCTCAAGGCTTCTTAAGTGCAACTATAAAACCAAATTTTGCTCTATATAACAAGGTATTTATGAAATCTCACCCCATCAAGGAGTATATTAGAGGCCTTAAAGTCTCTGTAAATGACTTTCTTCTCTGAAGTGTGCAAGAAAGCAAGGCCACGTGCTGCCCCTATGGCTATTTTGAGCCGTGAATCCCAAGACAATGGTTCAATGGCAGAAATCCCTACAAAACCAATCAAACAAGCAATTAATGCACTTTGTCATGGATATGCAAATAATTTTTTTTTTCCGTCTTCCCTCCCAGTTCTTACTTCTGAACAGATGGTTTTCCAAGCTTCCTTTCTGCATAAATTCGTACACCAGTAGGAGTTCTTTTTCCTCCCAACAGTATCCTAACAGCTTGACCAAGTTAGGATGAGAAAATCGTCCTAAAAAATTCACTTCCGACTGCATTGCAAAATAAAGAAACAAACAAACCATTGGCATTAACAAAGAAAACCTACTAACAATTTATAAAAGAACAACAGCAGAGCAATGCTGTTTTTGATCCCTGTATTAATAAAAGGGTAAAGATGTAGAAATGCCTTCGTAATAAAGTGACCTCAACCCGAGTACATCTCTTCTCGCTACAAAGGTATGCCCATAGAAACTACTGATAACAATAACAAGGACAGAGCAAGCACACATAGAATTTGATCTCACTCAGAATATTTTGTTCGATGCGTATAAATGCTAATCATTGTCACATTTAGTGAACACGTGCGCTACAAGACTGTGTAACACTAACAGATCCCTGAAAAGGAACTATTTTACTGCGACTTCAATCAATTCATTACCCATATAATTGTCAATTCTGTTTTTTTTTTTTTTTTGGAGGGGGTTGTTTGATACAATTACTTCCTCTTCGCTTAAAATTAGCCATAACAAGTTGGTTCAACTTTTCAACATTGGTAGGCTGATGAAAAAACAGTATTCTCTCGTTGTTTTCTTTCGGAAAAAAAGAGTATTTTAATTTTGTTCAACTATTAAATTTTCCCAGTCTCATCCTCTCTGTTCATTAGTAGCAGGCCACATTAACCACACCCTAGATTATAATCCAGGACAAAGATTTTTTCCTCCAAAACACCGCAAAAATCGCCTTTAAATAAATGCTAAACCATTTTCTGACATAAAACAGTAGGAACCAACGAATAAAGTTGTTGTACCTGCCATTCTTCAAAGCCTTGCACACTCTCGGAGTTCAATTTCTTGATAGCAACAATCATTCCGGTACCAAACTTAGAAGGCGCATGCGTCTTCTCATCAACCCATCCTTTATATACTGTCCCAAAACCTCCCACACCCAACACAGTATCAGACTTAAAATTCCTAGTGGCACTCTTCAAATCCGCAAAGCTATATATCTTCAAGTTAGGTGTTGGTAATATTTCTCCATTACAACTAGTCCCCTCACTTGCTGCAGCGGAAAACCGGCTTCGGCCGAGGCTGCTGCTTGTCAACGAATATTCGTCATCATTACTGTAACTGTTAGGTGTACCTAAAGAATATGTAGATTAGATGATAAATTCGTCAGACTAGATAGTCAAACTAGTAAACAACTTCAACGTTGAACATGGGTTTGCACTGGTATACGTAAAAAAAAAAAAAAAAGAACAAACGATTTATTTTGACAAAACTACAGCCAGAAATGGTACAAACCTAAGAAAAGCAATAAGGACCCATGTGAGGACTTAACAGAAAAATTAGAATACAAGCAGATAATCAGTACACACAGTCAAATAATGGGTAAAGAAGCTTTCATCCTTTTCTCAGAAAAAATGAGAAAATACATTAAAAGTGTTTAGACATGAGTACATATGTAGAAATGGCCAAAAAACAGAGTAAGCAGATAGAAATTCGAGGTAATTGTCATACCTAGAGAGGAAGGTTTAGTGATGGTGCTAGGACAACTGATGCTAGGGTTAGAATCATTAGGCTTAAATCCCAAGCAATTCCCCATTACCTAAGTCTGTTTCTCTTCAAGGGTATTAGTATTTTTCCACAATTAGTTCAAAATCTATCTCAGTTCAGAGGCCAGAAAATAAGAGAGAGAAAGAAAGAGAAACGTGAACACCAATAGGGTCTGAGTGTATTGCAATCAAAGAGAGTGGGTGGTCCTTCCTGGTGGACTTTTCTGAAGTCCAACAGGTACTACCACCGCGATGTGTTTGTTGCTCGATTGTGCGTGTCCAGTGCTCTTATTTCCAATTTATATGTGCCATTTTTTTACTGTTGGGTGAATCTACGGTGTTTTGGTCGGAAGCCGCAATTTGGGCAACGACGGACGTATCTTTATCTATCGATGTTTCTAGGCGTTTGCGCAAGGAAACAGTTCAGCCGTGTGCCCCAAATGGGCATAAGGGCCAGATATCTCAACGGTTTTTCTAGTTGATGTAAATTAGGAATTATTATTTTTGCAATAATTTAAATTTTCATTCAAAATAAGTCCTACTTTATTGTTCGATAACATTAGCTTTAAATAATTCTAATTAATTAAAAAATGCATCAACAATATAACATATTTAATTACTATTTTATAAAAGTGATGTATACAATATCTTAGGTGTCATGTGATAGCATTTTTAAGCACTTTTTTTTATCTTTTTTGCTTTTTTTTTTTAGTTTTAGAATAGGAAACACGATACTCATTTCATTAATTCAAAAGCACTACATCTTGACGGAGGAGGGGAACCAAGAATTAAGGTAACTCCTCCTTCCACAAAGTTGGGACATTACAATTTAGGATTAATTGTATTGGAGCTTCCCAAAATATGAAGTTTGTCTTATTTATATCCCTAATGTTTCAATTGCATCATTTTTTGTCCCTGCAGTATTGAATATCTATATAATAAAACAGGAGTGTGTTTGAATTTTATCCTAGTCATATTTTTTCCCTCAAAATCATCACCAATCACTTACCTCACCCATCATCTATTTGTCAGACTCAAACGTCAAATCACATCACTCATTTCTATCACATATTTAATCATTTATATATTTCCTCCCTAAAAATATCACACCACTCATTTCTAACATATATTTAATTATTTAATATTTAATTAATTTTTAGTTAATATATTTAAAAAAAATTTAATATAATGAGATCGATTTTTTGAACACTCAAATTTTATATTTTATTGTCCCTTTAGGCACGGGTTATGACTAGTGCTTCTATATGGTCTTTTAAGCAGACAGTGTCCAGATTGTTAATAATTTTTTTTATCACAAACTTATCACATGATACTTAAATATGGACAAAAAAATAATTTAAATAACTCTTGACCAAATTTTTACTCAAATTTTGGTTAAATACCTACTTAAATTACACGGTTTTGATCTTAAGTTATCCAAATTTTGGTCAAAAGCTACCCATATTACACATTTTTTTGTCAATAGTTAACCAAATTTTGTTTAAAACTATCTAAATTATTTTTTGTCCATATTTAATTATTACATGACAAGTTTATGATACAAAATCATTAGCAATCTGGATATTGTCTGCTTGAAGGACCATATAGAAACATATTCAATACTTTAGCGACTAAAATGATGCAATTGAAACATTAGAGACCAAAATAAGACAAACATAATACTTTAGGGACCTCTAGTGCAATTAACCCTACAATTTATCACAAACTTAGCAAGATAATTAGCAACTTCATTCCCTTATTGGCGGAACCATGAAAATGACAAGGAAACAAACTTGATAACGAGAGCTTGAATTTGGTCCACAAAATTGCGTATTTATGATAAATTCACTTGCTTCCTCTAAATAACATCTATTACCACCTTGGAATCACCTCTAAAATAATCTTATCGTACACAAGAATAAACCCCAGTTGCACTAGCCGTGAACGCTGCCAAGACCTCTACATTTATAGCACTTAACAGCCCAACATATTTTTAACAGCTACAAATTGTCCACCATTATTCCTTAAACCTTTGGCATGTACCAATTAAAAAAGATCCAATCTCTTGAAGTTCACCCATTCCCTCCAGCAACAACTGCGTAGAATAAATGAGCAGGACAAAGATAGTTGAAACAATTACAAAGGTGAAATAAACAATATTAAATGAGAGGACAAAAAGCACAAAAGTAAAAGAATTAATAAGCTGAATATCTTGCAATCACTTGAGATTTAACAATATTACGTATGTGAAAAATCCAACAGTGTGGAAGGATATATTTACTGGACCTTGAATGTATCTAATCCAATTGCTAGGATTTAAAAGGTCAAAAGTTTTCATAAGTTTAAGACATGTCCTTAACGGTTTTAGAAGAACATGAACAGGCCATGCTTTGTGATTGTATTGTCATTATATATATATTTCAAAGGGCATAAGAGTATTTCAAAAGTTTTTTTATATAGTGATTTTTAGAAGTGGTGCAGATAGATATAGATATGATAATTTAATGGGTGATGAGAAGAAAAAGAGAGACATGAAAGGTCACTCAACAAATAAATGTATCCTATGATGAATACTTATTTAGGTGCATGGTATTTTAGATATGTAAGAGTTGCTAGAGGGAAAAAGAGTAAAACAAATTTTTTTTCAATATATGTACATTTAGAAATAGCATAGATAAATAGATATAGATATAGATTAGTCTGCTTTTGTGTGTGCATTTGGTGTATTGTTGTTTGTGATTTGGTGTATTTTTATGTGTGTATGTGTGTGCATATTTTGTTATATTAATATGTGGTTACGGATGTTTCAAAAATTGAATTTTTTTTTAAAAGCAGATTCAACTGTTTGGTACCCTTAGTACTCTGAGTACTCTTTCATGTGAGGACTTCTTTCCCCGGTGCAATGATGATGCAGGCGCATTAAAGTTGACACACAGCTTATAATTTGCCACAAATGTGCCAACTCCAATCATGGAGGATCTGAAAGAAGCCCGAGAGGACAATCAAGTCAGAAGAAAATTCATGAATGATTCAGTGCTGGAAACATTGACCAGTAAGGTGAGCTTAACTTGCTTGGTGCTGGTCAAATGTCAAACCAAAATGGATAGCTGCAATGTTCTATTGTCCAATGGAAGCACCACAAAAACACTTTACATTTTTCGAGCATGAAATCATATATCTCACCATTTTCATTTGACTTTTAAGAATGCGAGTTGTTCACGTGGAGAGGAGAATAGGTGATAAGTTCTAGTTAAATAAATTGTAACATTTCCTAATATGGTTGTAACCTTAGTTGTAGATATGATAATTTTACCTCTCACAGTTATAAAATCTATATAATAAAATAGATTATAATTCAAATTTCAATAGATAAATAAAATGACTTTTGTTATTTGCAGTTGAGGTCGCTTTAAATTTTACTTTAAAGTTAATATAACGGTTAATATTAACACCCTAAATTTAATATGAAAAATAGGCTCCTAAGAATGTGTTTTGAGTGACTTTTTAAAAATATTTTTAGAAATTATTACTTATAAATACTTAAAAAAAATTAGTATTTGAAGCCGCTCCACTACTACCTCTACCACCGTCGCTGCCATCGCCGTCACCACTATCATCGCCGCCACCACCACCATTGTCGTCGCTGCCACCCCCACCAACATTGCCGCCGCCACCCCCATCCTCGTCATCACCACCCCTGCCACCACCGCCACCCCCACTGCCACCAACACCATCATTGTTGCCATCCACCCCCGCCGTCGCCAGTACCGTCGTCGCCGACGCCACCACCATCACTGCCATCATCGCCGCCACCACAGTCATTGTCACCCACTATAACCATCACCGTCTCCTACCACCACTACTGCTGCTCACCACCTCTCATCCTCACTACAAATCGATGTTTAAATTTCTTTATCTCTTCTCTATTTTGTGATTTAATTTTGGATATGAATACAAATATGTTTATTGTTTACCCTTTTTTATTACTCTGTACCTTCAGGTATGAGCAATAACTAGTGATCTCATATAGTTATAACATCATCTCTAAAAGTGGTAATTTGATAAATTTTTTTGATAGAATTGAAAATTAATGTAATGAAATATAATGTTAAATTAATGAAATTAAACATTACATGAAATCGAAGTTCAATTGAGTATTAATTTAACAAAATTTAATATTATTTTTTAATCTAGTAAAATTAAACATTAAGTATACAAAATAGTTACATTTTAAATGAGATAAAATTAAATATTAATTTAGGAAATCTAATTTTATTTTGCTGAAATTGGATGTCAATGTGGTCTTAGTTGGATGAAAGTAAATATTAAATTGATGTATTCACATGTTAATTTGATGAAATTGAAGGTTCAATTCAATGTTATTTTTATAAAGCTAAATTAAATTGATGTAATTGAATGAAATTGAAATATTAAATCTTAATAATTAAAACTGAATGTTCATTTGTTGTTAATTTGATGGATTTTAAGTTTATAATTTTGGATATTAATTTAATAAAATTGACCAATGGGTCTTTGGTCCAATAGTACTCCTTATCTTGTGAAAACTTTGTTTTCTTGAAATCAAGAGTTCAAGTCTTTCTCTCCTATCCCCTCCCCCTCCCCCAAAAAACAAAATAAAATTGAAGATCAATTTAATGTTATTTTGATGATTTGAATTTGAATGTTAGTTGGATGAAATTGAAAGCTAATTTCATACAATTTGATGTTAATGTGATGTAACTGAATATAGCATTGGGACTAGCTCAAAAAAAAAAAAAGGATCAACTAGTCATGATCGATCCAATCTAATTAGAAACTCCAGAAATTTTGTTTCAAAGAATTTTTGAACCATCAAATGCATTAAGATCGAACGTAATTGAGTGGAATGAGAAAAAAAAATGGTTTCATAGAATATTTGAATTCATTAAAGGCATTGAGATTGATCCCAAATAACATGATCGATCATAACTATTAAGCTAAAGTTACACCCTTTAAGGTAAGATTACTACTCACGAAAACAAAGTTATAATCTCTTGAGGTAAGGTTATCACCTTTTAAAGTAAAGTTACTATTTTCAAATGTAAGATTACAATCATTTGTGGTTAAGTTATAGCCTATAAAGGTAAAGTTACCACATCTAGAAGTGATGTAAGATTATAATCTCTTGAGGCGAGCTTTACAACCTTTTAAGGTAATACTATTACATTTAGAGACAAAATTATTATTGTCATAGTTAAAATTACAACTTTAGAAGAAAAGGTACAACCTTCAAAAGACAAAAGATATCACCTTTAGTGGATAATATTTAATGACAAAATAGTTCATGTGTTCAATTGATAACCATGCATTAGTTAGAACTAGTTGACACACACGTGCATTGCACGTGAACTATTTTGAATGATAATTTTTGTTTTTCA